GTTTATGACGGTGAACACAAATAAAAAGACGCGGAGACAGAGCATGGATTTCACAATATACCCTATGTTCATAGACTCAGAGAGAAAAATTACATCACGAGTCGTTTATGGCAACTGCTATGAATTTAAATAACAAGTGACATCACTTCAGCCAACTACTCCTAGTAATTTTACGCTACAGAATCACAACTCACTATTATCTATTCTAACAAAAGGAGTGAAAACTTCCTAGATTAATAAAAGAAAATGTTGATTCATTTATCAAGAGGGGACATGAATTCTAAGGGAAATCAACTCGCCAGCTCTTCCTTCAGAGTCCGTTTCGAGCTCCTGAACTCTCTCTCTCTCACCACCTCAGCTGAGCACACTACCAAACGCATAGAAAGATGTTCTTTCCTACCATTTCGACGTGAACCAGGTCAGTTCTGCCCCAGGTTACCAGGAGATTTGAGCGAGGATGGTCACCGGTGCCGCTTGGTCTCAAAGGGGGTCCCCTTCGGGCACAGCTGGACACGCCGAGGCTGTCTGGGGTTCAAGCTTCAAGCTACAGATGAGAAAGTCGGTTCGGGTCTAGATGGATCGGACTGAAGTTCTGGTCAGTTCAGTTTCCCGAACAAATCGTGTCCCTACACTACAAAAATTAAACTAAAAATTTTTAAATTAAAATAAATGTCCCCGAAGGGAATGAAGGAACTTGAAACTCYTGGTCCGTTCTCTCTGGCTGCTGTTTCTAGACTACTTGAAATAATAAAAATGTTATCTCTTGTCCTGACTTTACAAACTTCTGATTGGCTGAGAGAGTCACATGTGGTGTCACCGGCTTCACTGACATCACGGTTCTGTTGCTAAAATGATCGAACAAAACAYAGATTGACGTGGTTACCTGTACAGTGATTAAATCAAGATATTATCACAGTGATTGAGTCATGATAKWAAAATACATTGTTTCTTTTTCTTCTTCTTTTTTMATCAGACAACCAAACAACAGAAATTTACCCAGAAAAACATTTGCTCATGATGTGATTATGAGACTAGCCTTTAGGGGCGCTCTAAGACCATAAATGAGATTGTATGTTAGGCATGTCTTTGAAGATTGTTCRTGGGCATTATCTCAGCAGGGAACACAGTCTCTTAGGGTCTAGATGTAGATTGTAAACCCACTTCTGGAGCAAATGGTTGGTCCTTTGTTATAAACGGCCATTTGGGACACTTAAAAGGGATCTCACAACAGGGCTTAATCAACGGAAGGTTGCAGTTCCTGTTTATTTTAGCATTTGTAGACAGTGGAGAAAAAGGGCGAGGCCAGTGGAGAAAGCCATTGTTCTCTATAGATATGGGAGGAGGAGGAAGTATTGATTCAAAGTTCTTGAGTGGGATTGTTTTCTTACGTTCCTGCTACATATATATAAAAATTCCCTTCTCACCCTCCGCGGGTGGTCGCTTTCATCCTCTGAGCTCGGGTCCTCTACCAGAGGCCTGGGAGCTTGAGGGTTCTGCGCAGTATCTTAGCTGTGCCTAGAACTGCTAAGATACTGCGCATATATATATATATAT